CAAGCTACTGCGACTGTCATCTGTCCAGTTTCTCGAACTCAGTACCGATGTTTTCGATGAGCTGATGCGGAGACAATCTCTCGGCCGAAGGCCCTCGGGCCCTGGGTCTCAACCACCTCCCCCTTACCTGATGCCCGAATCCAACTTCCACCCGAAACGTAACCAGGCGAGACAAAAGCTGTCTTCCCTCGGCCCTCCCCGATTTCGCGATCTCGCGACCGACGTCTACTGCGAACTAGAGAGGAGGTTTCCCCGCTTTGCTGCTGGAGATATGCCCAGAGTGGGTAGCCCCGTATCGGTCCGTTCGCAAGCGACCGTGAATGGTGGTTACCCGCCGAGAAGCCAAAGTAGGAGTCAGAGTCGGACGAGACGGCCCTCCGATGCCAGCTCAATGCGAGGAGGACCGCCCCGGGGCGATCCTTATGGTGTGCCTCCATCGCCGGGCTTGCCTCCGGGAGGCGAGTATAACCGGCCGATGCAGAAGCAGTTTCAGAGCAACACGATTGTGCCGAACAAGAGTACAATGGTGGAAGAAGATGACGATGCGAGCCCGAACGAGGACGGCGACGAGGCTTTTGGTCTCGAGCGCACGGCAACAAACCGCACGAGTAAGAGGAGCCAGGCCACGGAGCAAAGTGCGGTAGCATCAGAGGTGATCTTTACCCAACTTAACCTCGTATCGAGTGGAGACATTAACAGCCCTACAGGCCGACAAGAAGCTTTTAGACGAATATCAATCTCAGGTCCGAGAGCTTCGGGAAAAGCTCGACGCAATGGAAGACGTCATGAAGAAGAAGGACGATGAAATGAACAGCATCCTTGACGGCGAAAGATCACGATCGACGGCTGTCAATATGGAAAAGAAGGAGTTTGCCGATCTCCGACTCAGCCTTGAGAACAAGCTCGCTGAGGCTCAGGACGTGAACGACAACTTAAGACAAGAGTTGGACCGCATGAGAGACGAGCATGCCAACGAATCCAGACAGCTCAGAGAGCAGGTCGACGACCTGCGGCAATCCAACATGACCGCCGCTGCGAACGTCAGCTCCGGAAACGCCGACCGGGAACTGCAGCGGGAAAACGAGCAGCTGCGCAGATCCTTGCAAGAGCAGCAACAGGTTACGGAGGAGGCTCGTCGCGAGGCCCGTGAGTTTTTGCGCGAGATGAAGATGCTATCGCAACAAAGTGGATCTTCGTGGCAAAAGCAAGAAGAGTTGGAGAAGACTATCGACCAGCTCGAAGGCGAAGTTCGCGAGTGGCGGAACCGATACGCTCGCACAAAGACGCAACTTCGCGACATGCGCGCTGCTTCACTCGGATTGAATGTTGAGCAGGATGCAGCCAAATACGTGCGCGAGAAGGGATTCCTGCAGCAGAACGGAGCAGTCAAGGACGTTCACGTTACCAAGTTCCAGATTGCCATTGACGAGCTTCTGCAGAGAGCTCGATCAGACGACCCCGACAAGGTCGTTGACTCTATGAAGCAGGTCGTTGTCAGCGTTCGCCGGATTACTAAGGACATCGACGAAGCAGCGCAAACCAACGAGGACCTCATGCAGCAGCGATCGAAGCTCAAGGGCAAGATTTCCTCCTCTGCCAACAACCTTATTACCTCGTCCAAGAACTTTGCTGCGTCGGGTGGCATTTCGCCCGTATCATTGCTCGACGCCGCCGCTTCTCACCTAGTTGCCGCCATCGTCGACCTCCTCCGAGCTGTCAAGATTCGCAATACTCCCGATGGTGAGCTCGAGGACGACGATGATGGCACTATTACGCCTGTGGACTCCACTGGATTCTTCTCCCCGAGGACTGCCTCCAGACAAGAATCAATGATCCAGGATTCAGTTCCTGCGCCTTTGCCATTGGGACAGGCACCCCCACCCTTCCAGGGTCTTGGCGGCAGAGCCAGCATGGACTCCTCAGCCTACAGCCCCATCAACTCCCCCCGTCAATCCGCCGACACCTACAACCGTGGACCTAACGGCATGAACGGTATGAATGGAATGAATGGCATGGGCTACAAGAACGGCCCCACCAACGGGTACGGCATGCGCCAAGATAACCAGGCAGAGGAGCTCAAGGTCTACCTCGACGATCAGACCGCTATCCTGGTTCAGAACATCCAGAACCTCGTCGGCTCTATCCGAAGCGATGCCTCTATCAACCAAATTACGTCCGAGATCAACGGCATCACCGAAGTGGTCGGAAAGGTTATTTCTGAGACGGAGGCTTCTGGCAACGGCGCCATGATCGCTCGCCTGGCCGCCTGCCGCGAGAGACTTCTTGAGGCCAGCGAACGGGGCCTGGACATCGACCGCGGCCAGGACGTTGGTGCGACCGGACGCAACGATCGCGAGTGGCGCATGTGGACGCAGACCCTGCCTCCCATCGCCTTCGAGATCGCCAGGGAGACCAAGGAGCTGGTCCAGCGCGTTGACCAACTGGTTATGAACGGAGGCGACGACTTCTCTTAAGTTATCGGCCTATCTCAGGAAAGCCAACGCTCCGACTTTTAATGATGGTAGGCAACAATGTTGACCTTCCGACAACCTATCACGATACGCATAATCTTCAAACGAAACCCCCCTTCTGCTTTTTTTTCGCGAGAGAAAGCTTTGATACCCCTGCTGTCCTCAGGGCGGCTTTGCTTGCATTTTGGGTTTGCAGTTTTGGGATGTTGAGGAAACAAAAGGGGTCGCTTTTTCGCTTCTTCCGTATCCTTTTTTCTTTATATATATTTGACATCCTCTCGGCGCATGAGAGGAGGTTTTGGCTCTGAAGCTTGGGTTATAGACGGCTCCTTGCGGTTTGGTTACTACTGCCTTGAGGCGTTTAATCTGCTCAGGGGGTTAAGTTCAGTGTACGCTTTGCATGAGAGAAGGACCTGAAGACGACGCTTTTTTTGTGTCAAGTCATGCGAATGAACGAAGACAGACGGAACAGTCCTGGGCTTTCCTGCTCCCCTGGCCATGTATTTTCAGGGCGAGCGGGGGTGGACGGGACGGGATCACTTGTTGGCGGTGTTGAACTGGTTAAAGACAGTGCTTGGGGGGTGTAGTTAATGTTAAGATTGCCCACGAGGCATGGATTGAATGCACCATTGTGTCCGCTCCATGATACTGTGAAGACGCCACTTCGGCCATAAGTGATGTGCCTTGCGCAATATCGTTAGTTTGACTTCCAAGCAGCGGGCTTCGTTGGCCTCCTATCACAAGCAGAGACCTCCCAACATCATGGCATCGGAGGACTGCGCCGGCTCCCACGCGTGTGACCGCGGGAACCGTTATATGACGGCGCGCTCCTCCCGCATGATCAGATGAAAAGGAGAGTTCAAGCGTTCCCGTAACAGTCGCCCTAATTGGTGCGGAGACGTTGGCCAAGATGAGGGGGGGATTATTCTGTCTTTTGAAGAAAGCTTAAACAGCAAAGAATCCATGTGGGAGGAGGTTGGGGAAAGAGGCGAGAGGGGGAGGCGCAAAGGCGGTAGCGATGGGCTTGAGTCTGTTTGTCTTGTTCATTTCCTCACATGTCTGGACCTAGAATGCCGCGAGACGGGCAGCTGATACGCCGCCGGCCGCCCGCTGCATGGGATCGTCCATTGAAGACGGTAGGGTACGGAATGCTGCACCTTGATTAAACCGTGTGCCTGTCTGGCGGCTTCCCGATCTTCCAAGACATTGTCTTTCTTTCTCTAATAGGGGGTCCTCGGCAAGCGGTGCGTTAAGGAAGTTGTTGTTCTCGAGGTCGGACGTCGGTAGGTAAGCGCCGATCCGGAAGGAGGGAAAGCCGGCTGTGAGCTGGGACCGGGTTCATCCCTTGGAAGTGGGGACCGACAAAGTTCCCATTTCTGCGTTCTCCAACTACTCGCCATGTTGGTCGTCCTACAGGAAGGTGTTGGGCCTTGAACCTGCGATCCTCCTCGAACCAAAGGTCCTGTTCAAATGGACAGGGGTGTTTTACACGGGGGGCAACGTAGTTGGACCCATCCGAACAGGAGCTGGACGAGCCAAAACAAGTAGCTCGTTCAGGACCAACGAACCAACCCCCGCTGCTATTCGATTATTGCTTTGTTTCCATGTGCTTGCAGCTTACGGGCGCCGTCGGTCTTCCTACTTACCCCTCACTGCCAATTAGACGACGTCCCCCCTTTGTGGCCGGCGGCTGGTATCTTATGCTAGAGAAAGCAACGCGCGTTGGTAGGGCTGACGCCTGTCAAACACCATCCTCCCCCTCCTTCCCGCCAAGATCAGACCAGTCGAACCAGACGTTCAACACACAAAGTCGGGCGCCTCGTAGCGGACGTCGAATCTGAAAGCCAACGCAGCGGTCAGCTTATGCTTCGATGCCTGTTTTGGGGTAGGGGTCTTTTGCCAATCTCCAGAAACCTTCCCGGCCCGCATGCTGACGACCAACCGCCGTCCCCCGGTCCTGGGTTCGGTCAGCCCGTTTACGCGTATCTTCCTTTGCTGGAACCAATTGACGGCGTCGTGGCTTACGGCGGATGGCGAGACCATTGAAACGGGCTGCTTTTCTTACGGGCGAAGGATTCCTGTTTGGAGACCCGGACCCAGCCATCTGGGGCCGCTTCGGTAGGTCTGCTTGCTTTTTTCCTTCCGTCTTGTCTCGAGCTTGGGGCGGATGCAAGTGAGACGAAGGAGATGAGAGACATGGGGTACGGTGCAGGCAGATATATTCGAGGCTGTTCCCTCGCTTCCCGTTTTCGGGTTGGGGAACCACACGATCTGACATCTGTTTTGTGTGTTTGTGACGGTGTGATCTGTGTCCCTGTCTACCCATTGGTTTTCTTTTATCACACTTCGAAGTTGTGTCACTGTTCTTATTGCTTTGTGTTGCAGCATATCCACTTGAGTTGGTGTTGCTGAGATTTCTAGGTCCTTTGACGACGTGCTCGAGAGGTCAGTAGGTGTATGGCTTGCTGGGGACCGTCACCCACTGCTTCATATTATCAGCAGCTCGAGAAGAACGGATTGAAGGACAAGATGTCGAAAACAGTAACGGAAGTACTTGCAATGCCAGCTGAGGAGCCGAACGCCGCCGCAGCAGCTGGAGACTCCCCGTTGCTGAACCTCCCCTACGAGATCCGGCTCCAGATATACGGCTGGGTCCACGCAATGCACCCTATCCAGCACGCGCAGCTGGCCCCATGGTACCCGACTCCAACATACAGTTCGTACTTCCTAAAGCTTGTCAGGCCGGACGCAGCTGAGGATTCTGGAGTAAAGCGACCTACCGCCGCCGCTGCTGGCGCGAACGACGTCGATGACGATCCCCGGAAGAAGGAAACCCGAAAGGCCGCCACCGCCGACGAAGAGGACAAGGCATTGCTGTCCCCCAACCGACCGCTCTGCGGCCTACCGTCCGCGCTCCTTCGCACCTGTCGCCAGATCTACGAGGAAACGCGCACGCTTCCGTTCCGCAGCAACGAGTTTGTGTTCGTCAACTGGTTCTCCTCGGGTCTCTGGGCGGCGCGGGCCTTCACTCGGGGCCTGCAAAGGTGGCAGCGGGACGAGATGCGGTACACGCGGCTCGAGATGCTGGGGCGGGACTTCACGGGCCCGGCGCTCAAGGAGTGGGTGGAGCTATGCGGGTGCTGGGCGGGCGGGCTCCGGGGCCTGCGGCTCAAGATTCTGATCGGAGGTGGGATATTCGAGCCCACCGCTTCGTTTGCCTCGCTGAACAACAATGCAGAGGCGCAAGCCATGGACATTTCCAAATTTCCAGAGCCACGGCCCGAGTGGATCGAGGAGGGCCTCAGGAGAATGGGAAAGCTGAGGGAGCTGGAGGTCGAGCTCTGCGTGCTTGACTGGGACGACGGGCAGAAGATTACGTGGTGCGAGTCTTTGGAGACGATTCTCAACGAGGGGCGGGAGGGCGGCGAGGTGCGTGTGAGGTGTGTCGAGAGGCTGATGGAGGATCGTGGGCCGAAGAGGGAGATTGTCGGCGAGGGGGAGAAGCAGGATGGGTATGGGTATTGATGCCTGGATGACTGTGGTCAGAGACGATCAATGACAGGGGTAGCGGTGCGCGAACTTGAAGGCATTCAGGAGTTGGGAGTCATTGGGAGCTGGGAAAGGATACCAGAAGGGAGTTTGTTCTATCAAAGACTTGTTTTCTCCTCTCACTCATCTCATGTTCGCTTATGTGAGCCTGGTGAATCGAAAGCAGCAGCCACTCTTCGCGCGGCAGGAAGGAGGCAGACCTGCCTGCCCGGTCTTGCCATCTCAAGTCGGCCACCCTCCCACACCATCTACACGTCGACCGGCTTTGTTTTTTTTTCTCTGCCCTCGAACCTTTTTTCTCAACCGCCTCGTCTTCTCCCACACACAACAACAAAATTTCCTCTCCTCAACCTGAGCAGCCCTAATCCTGCTTAACCTTCCACTCAACCTACCCTTCCTCCTCAGCATACTTTGCGCGAGGTATTCTTACTCCTCCTTACTTCTCTTCTCCCGTCAACTCACACGCGTTCCCCTAGCATCACAAATCTCTACCCTTCTCAACCCATCTCACGCGAGAAATTCTCTCAGCGTCCCTTCCCAAGACAAAAACAAGGAGACACTCAGATCTCTCCATCAACTGGTAGAGCACGCCTTGCAACCTTTCTGTGAAAAATCACTGACCTGAACAGATTCCTTCTCACAAGGAATTTTTGACAAGGAATTATCTCTCCGGTTACACTAAGAACAAGGAAAATCTACCTCGCTCACGAAAAGTACGATCCCCTGCCCACTTCACAATGATCACTCTTACTGACAAGCTCTAGGTCAAGATGGTTGGTCACGTTACCAGAGGTCTCACCTTCGCTCAGCACTGTTACGAGTGCCTCGAGATGGACTACACCTACGCCTGGCCCCTTCCAGTCCGGCTTTTCGCTGTCTTCTTTATTACAGCCTTGTTCGCCAGCATGCACCCCGATGTCAACGCCTTCACTAAGCGTGTTGTCTGGATGGGCGTCCACCCCTTTGCCCTTCTCGTTGGCTACATCACCGCCGCCATTGTCCGCGGTCTCCTCTTCATCTTCATTGACGGCCCTGAGATGCTTGTCAACCTCATCACTCGTCACCGTAACCGTGACCTCGACGTCCTTGACAACCTTGACGTTGAGAACAACACCAAGCTCAATGCCATCATGGGCCGTCTCCACGCCACTGCCCCCGAGGAGTGGACCCCTGGTGGCCGCGTCTTTGACAAGAAGTACAAGCCCTTCTTGCCCGCTGAGAAGATGAACTTTGCCGGTCCCCGCCAGAAGAACGCCATGACCCGCAAGCGCAACCTCTCTGTCTGAGCTTGCCCTTGCCTACTCTCATCAAACGACAAGCGCTGGAGTTGACGGGTGGCACTGAGTACTTGGAGGAACTGGATCTGTCCAGGAACCGGATCTTCTAGGGGAAGGCAGCTTCTACAACAGCTCTTCGGCTTTTTCGGACGCGCGGAATGATGGAGGGCGATACGAAGCTCATGAGATCACGAGACCATGACTAACGATTTCTTTTTCTCTTGTCTTTGGAGGGAACGAATCTTTTGGGGGGATGGACTTTGGTTCATGCCTGAGGAGTATACACAGGCGTGGCATTCCATGCACTCTTGGATGTGCACATTAGGACTTGGGTTCGGCAACGATTTGGAGTTTGGCCTATGGAAAGCGGGCTGGACGGACACGCATCGAAGCATTCAGGTGAAAAATGGACAGACAGGTCCCTAATAATCGGTAGACAGATGGAAATGAGACGCTCTTGCTATGTAATTCTTTCATTTCGCTTGTTTTTGTGATGTTGTCCACCTCGACGAGGCTTTTCGCAAAGCTGAAGGTGAAGGCAAGCGAGACCAGGCACGTACGTGGCTGCCATCGCCATCCCAGACGTGCCTACATCAACCTCGATGTTTTTAACAAGATCAACGTGATTTTTCACACGGTCGAAAAATAAACCTAGGTGTTTGTGTTCTCTAAAATTGAAGCATGCTTCCACAATGATTGAGCCTGGTTTCCTTTCGCTGTTGGCGCTTGTCGAAATAGCGAGGGGACGTGTAGGGAAGGATCTATTTGCCATCTTCGTCCCTTCCTAATTCACCCACATACCTCACAAAGAATAGCGAGACCGAAGAGGTCGCAAAGCTTGACCATTGTCACACGAGGGTTCCCAACAATTTTAGAAGCTGCGAGGAAACAAGTTGTAGCCCATGCTATCTCCTTCTGAAGACAGAGGCAGTGACACGGGCATTCGCTTGACCCGGTCAAAAATGGCTTGAGAACGAACTTTATAGAAGATCGAAGCCTGGTCGACCGTCACTTCAATATCTCGAACCTGATTTCTTCCTCCAGGTCAGGCACCTAGTCTAAGTGGGATCGAAGAGTCACTCATTGATAACTCGTCAGGGCTGGGGAAGGTCCTTCGCTACGTGTTGAAGACGGACGGCGGCAGATTTCATTCCGTAGCATGAGGTCTGAATGAACGCCCAAGATGTAGTCGTATGGATTAGTACAAAAGGGGATGGCCCGCGTCATCCAGGCATCGGCACAAACGATCATGTGAGTTCTGCCCGCCGTCGGGGTTGTCGGGCGAAGCTTGCTGTTCACTCCGTCCACTGTGGCGTGGTCCAGGCAAGTGGTGATGCATTGAAGTGCGATCCTTCAGGTTGCAGGTACGATCGAATAAACCACCATTTATGGTAAATGGAGACGAAGCCCGACAGAGACGAAACGGGAGCTACGTTCACCTACATGATCTCTTCAACCAACTACTGCAAAAGACAGGCGACCAGCAGCAGCATCGGAGAGGTCGCCATGGCGACTGAAAACAGCATTAAAGTCGATCGAACATATTGATTTGCTTTATCGTAGCCCATTGATCGATCAGTGATAAAGATATAGATGAGGAACTAGCATCATGGCCAGAAGACTCGGGAGCCCCTCTCAATATACGATATGAACCGTCCGGATGTTCCATGAGTTTTCAAGTAGACTGTCCCCAGTGGGAAGGCACTCTTTCACGAACATTGCTCCTCAATCTCCCGAGGGAACATGTAATCCTGTGTATTTCCCACCCACGAGAATTCTCTCAGCGATTGTTCTTCCCGTTTCGTGATGCCCGCTTCCCCCAGGAAAGATGTAACATGGCCACTGGAAGCCCGACGCCCATCTGAAGGCCCGGGGATGTGAAAAAAGCTAACCCTTTCTTCAATCAACATATTTCGTGCATTGATTTTCGCGAATATATACAAGACACTTGAGAAAAACACAACACAGATAAATCACAACACAGTCCACGGCGTTTGCTATTTGTATATGTTCGGAAGCTATGCCATTGTACGCCTCTCGTGAGCGTGTCAAGCCGACTGTTCCGTCTCTTGATTGATTTCTTTCGTAATGAAATTAGGAAGTCGTCGAAGTTATGAGGCTATGGTCTGCTGAAAGAGACTCACGTCGCAGCTCCTGTGCTTCTGGGCCAAGGTTGGTATATAAGACGCTACCCACGGGAAGTCTCTTAGCAGCACAACAAGACATCACATGTGCTATGTCTGATCCTATTCTTTTTCTTAAAGGAGAATCATGCCCTCTGATCGCTTCAAAGGACTCAGTGTCCCAAGGTATGTTCTGTGCTCTTCACCTGTCATGAAAACGCTCTCAAGGGCTCTCGAGATAATACACGCCATGAATACGACGCAGACAGAAGTGACGGCTCACATTACGGAGACCTTACATTGAAACATCTAGCAACATCGCCTTGAGCCCTAGGACCTTCATATCTGCCAAATCCAAGTATTTAGACCTAGAGAACCCGTCGGAGACTATTGGGATTGTGTTGAGCAAGACTGTAAGGTAGAAGGGGGTATTTAAGCGGACATCCTGGTTCAAAAGCTTCTATTTAATTCAGAGTATGACCACCCAAGAATGGCATGATTGAAGCCACGATATTCTCATCAGCTGTCGAATCATGGCGAAGCCATTATCCAATGCATCAAATGTTCTGATGATACTGCCGTTTGTCCTTCTCTTTCCCAATCCTCCGAATGCCATCGTGTGTGGAACTCACGATTCGGTTACTTGCTATGTTTCGCTCAGATTTCAGCAGGTCATTTTCATCTCCTTGATAAAAAAAATAATTGTTTTCTAGGGGCGCAGGGTTCTTGATAGCAAGTTTGTGCATATTTCATGTCAAGCATCCGGTAATTTTTCGGTCTGTGTTGCTGGTCACTTATCTTACTCATTGACCATCCACCAATGCCCATGGATTTTCGAGCAGACCTAATCTCGTGTTATTTGCCAGCAACAGCTCTTTTCGAAGGAAATGCTTCTCAACTGAAATTGCAAGCAGGACAGCGGGGTGAAGTTGTGACTAATCCATGCAGTGAAGCTATTGACAATTTGAGCCCACCCAAACCCCCCACAACATCCCATCCATCCGCCTTGACTCTGCACTAAACCGCAACGAATCCTTTTTGTTCGTTTACCAACCTCAACAGACCAAAAGGACCCCTGGCGCAAGCCATGTGACTTCGCGCCAGTCTCGCTCCCAAGCGGTGTGGTCCTCCACCCCCCAAACCGGCCCCCGTCTCACCCTCTAGCCTGCCCCGCACCGCGCCGGTCGTGACTCACGGGCTATGTAACCACTAACCAGGGGCCGTAATCAGCCGCAGACACGCAGTAGCGCATCCCGAACGCGAGATATCACTGTTTTTCTTTCCATCCTTGAGTGAGAAATTAAAAGTTGATATGCCAGGGGCTAAGGTTGTCGTCGGCACTGGCGCGTCACCTGGGAAAAACGGTCGATTGAGTGTGTGTCATGTGGTTTGGGGGAAGGAGTCATTGGCTTAAAAAGGGCGGGATGATCCCGCGCCCGCAGTAACGTCCTTCCCTTTGTCTTGCTGACTTCTCAACTTTCATCGTCCTGAGGAAATCGGGAACTTTGTTTTGACACGCGAGGAAACTTCACAAGATTTCCATCTCACAATCCTCCCAACACTATTCCTCTTTCCCAATTGGAGGAGGAGAGAAAGCACGTCAATTGCGGCGCGGTCCGGGGTATCGAAGCTCGGAGCTTATCTCGATAACACACCACACACACCCACTCTCATCCATCAACCCCGCGAAGTCACACGCGCGGAGCCAACGACAGGAAGCCAACGAGACCCCACGAAGCTTCTTTTTTTCTGACGTCATATTTCAACCGTTCTCTCCCGACCAAGCGGAACAAGATGGACGCGCGATGCCAATGCGGCGCGGTCACGTTTAAGACGCCGCTGCCTCAGCCGCTGCGGCTCTACATTTGCCATTGCGATGAGTGCAAGCGCCAGACGGGCTCCGCTTTCGGGACGTCGGCGATCTTCCCCAGGTTCCAGCTCCCCGCCATGGATTTGCTGGGCGTCTATGCGTGAGTTTCAAAACCCGTTGGTGGTGGTGGTGAAAAGTGAACAGTTAAGGCTGTAGGGGAGTGGACTAGGGGTGAGGTGAGAGAATGAAAGATGATTGAGCTGGCTGTGAAGAAAGGAGGATGAGGTGCTGACGTTAGAGACAGGAGGCCGACTGCATCAGGCGTGACACTTCACTGGTGAGTCTGATAGCAAGCCACCATGCCCTTTCTCATGTAATAACGTGACTCATCAGCTACTTTTGCCGCAACTGTGGGACGAGGTTGATTCACAGCACACCGGTATGTCCCTTCGGCCTTGCTGCTGACAAATGAACCAGCAACTCATGTTAGACATAGGATAAGAACGTCGTCTCGGTCAAGGGCGGCTGCATCGACGGCCTCGACTGGAAGACGGCGGTGCACATCTGGACCAAGAACGCCATGGTGCCCATCCCGGAGGGCGCCGAGACGCACCCCGAAGAGGCGAACTACACCGACTACGGAGATTCGCAAGAGACGCTTGACCAGCCCACCGACCTGCGTGGGAGTGGAGGTTGTACCGGTCCGGTCATCAGGGCGGCTTGTGATATCAGCCCGAAGAGTTCACTGCAATGAAGTGCTCCTATGACAAGGTTGTAGAACGCAAGCGAGAGTTGGTCGCAGGTGACAGGACGGTATTGTTTGCAGTAGATCTCTGATTTTGACTGTGTTGGTGAGGCTGGGGAAAGGTATTAATGGTATCTGATATCTCAACTCATATCCCTACAGAAAGTCATCCCAGCCATTACGCATGATACATGAATTACCATTCCGATCGTTCCCTTTCTATGAATTGATGCTCTCACGAGGGCTGTCCAACCAAGCTCTCTTCTCCGCTTGGTCTACCGTTGGGCTTGGATACGTCCTCACGACGATGCTCGCCTTGCTCCGCTCTCGT